TTTCTTAAGACACAACGTGCTGGAGTAATCTTGCGAAACGCGTGTGCAAAAATTTAAGAACAAGCAAATAAAATAAATAATTTCGCGTGCGTTCATAAGTTGATAAAACTCTACAGCTAACTGTATCAGGTATATTATTGGTGTGAGTGTGTGTGAGAGTGATAAAAGAGTTTTCTAGAGTGCAAGCTGTCAAATTGAACAAAATTTGTTTATTCTAATTCTATTTGGCCTAATTAAATGGTGTGAAAAATCGCTGCTAACTGTAAATGGTGACTCATGTGTGCGCTGTTTGTTGTTGCTGTTGCTGTTGTATTTCTTATATGTAGCTGTTGCCGCACACGCAAGTGGCCCATGGCCTATGGAGTCTTATTTTTAGATCCCCGACTAAAACGTATATTACTGTGGTCCCCACTCGCATAGCCGTGATAGATCGATACACTCGACAAATATGTACATGCATACATGCATACATACACACATGCATACGTATGTACATACATATAAGTTAAGAATATTTTTGCTTTGCAATTAATTGGACCAAGCGCGAAAGCTAAAAAAGCGCAGCAGCAGCAGCCGCAGCATCAACAGCAGCAGCACAATCAACAAACATGCATACATACGTAACTAGCTGCATACATACGTACATGTATGTACGCACTTCATCAGTATGTACGTGCGTATGTTTGTATATAACAGTTCATGAAGCTCGCAACTGCAGTCGAATTTTCGTATTATACTTTTAGGCAGCTCAACTGAATTGTTTTTGCTTTCCCTCTACGCTTTTCGTTTTACTTCAAATTCCGTTGTTTTTTTTCTGTTATTTTGAGTTTCGTTTCTGCGCTTTGTTTTTGTTAGCTTCTATTTGAATGCCCTCTTTGCACACCTAATTATGAGCGATGTTTACACAGTGTGTTTGCTGAAAATAAACTTAACAGCTAAGTGTAGAAATTTAAGTTTTTGTTTTTATTTTCCTTTCATAATGACAATAGTTTTGTATCTAGTTAGCCTTTTTTCTATTATTAAAAAAAAAACACTACACACAAAATTACACCTGCCACATGATTGGCATTGTGCCATAAAGTATGCAATAAGCTGTTGGGCCTCCAGCTGGTGAACTTGTATGCCGCCAAATGTTGCAAGTTGCGGAGGGTTTAGCCAATTCGATTTTGACTTTGATTTTGATGTTGATTTGACCGTTTGGAAAGCATCTTCTTTTACAAAATTTTAACGTTAACACAACCCACAGACACACACACGCACACATACACACACACACAGGCACGCACACAACCACACACAGGCACGCACACAGGCACACACACGCACACACGTATTTGCACCGTTAGAGTATTGTATTCGTTTGTTTCTTTTTTTGTTTTTTCTACTTGCAACCTTGCTCAATGGCTCGCGTGAACTCGCCGCACATTTTGAAGAACTTATCCAATTGGCAGTTAATTCAAGCAGCCACAATAAAGCCAACAAAGACAACATTAACAGCAACAGCAACAACAATAACAATAACATCAAAAACAATAACAGTTCAAACAGACAAAGCAAACACAAAAACAGTTAGAGCCCAAATTAGCTACTTCGATAGCCTGCTGTATAAACTGAGCGAGATCTGGAGTGGCTCTAAAACTCAACGGCTGAGCAAGAGCAACAATAACAGCAACAGAAAGAGCAACAGCAAGAGCAACAGCAAGAGCAGGACGGCAAGCATAAATAAAAGCGTCTGCCCCTATGCGCGCTTAAGAAAAATGACAACAATGTCGTCACAAGAGGCCGATGCCAGCGTGGTTCTAGCACAGGCGGAGGCTCAGACACACGCTCAGTGCGTGAGAGAGTACTACGACATGCCCTATCAAGTAAGTACAGCAGCGTGAGTGAGTGAGAGCGAGAGCGAGAGAGTGCCAGAGACTGTGACATAGACACACACACACACACACAAGCGAGCGTAAGAAACGGTACACGCTTTATGCAGACATATGCACATCAATCAGCTGCAGCAAAGCTCATTAGCTTGCTGTACCAATTGTGTCAGTCAGACACGCACACACACCCACACATACACATGTACATATATACACCCACACTCATATACACTCACACACATGCAGAAGCATATGATTTGCTCTGCACTGATGTCCTTTTGTGCACCTAATTGCTTTTGCTGCATCGCCTTCTTTTCTCCTTCTTCTTCCACCTCCTTTTCAATCTCTTGTCACATGCAACTAACTTAAGATGTTTGTCAGTCTATCTGTCTCTGTGTGTGTGTGTGTGCGAGTGTGAGTGCCGCAGCTTTGCGGCCCGCAGCAATAGAAACCCCCCTCTCCTATGTCACTGCTTTTGTATCTTTTGCAGAGCGATATGAGCGACTCAGCGCCCAATACGCCCGGCCCCGGTTCGGCCCCCAAAAAGTATTATCGCCAAGCGGCTCATAGGTAAGTGTAAAACGTAATCTATCCAAACACACTAAGAATTGCACCGACTTCCATATGCTCTGCTAAAGTTGAATTTCTGATATTCATCTAATACCTAGAATTAATTTATTCCGAATATATTATGTATACTTGAAGTTACGGGCTAACACTACAAGTTGTACAAATACAAAATATTTATAGATTTTTTTTAATTAGTTTTAATTTATTAATTTTACAAATTAGAGTGTAAGCCCGTTGCCTTCCACCTGACGTCGGGTGACGTCACGCACTCGCTGCTTGGGGTCTGGGATCTAACGATTGTGGGGGTAAACAAACTCAATGCTGCGCCTGACATTGGGAGCGCCTCCTCCTTGGCTCATTAGAGTGACACGAGTAGCTGCCCCAAATTCTTATCATCAGCGTCACTTGTTGTTATTGTCGATTGTCGCTTGTCGATTTTCCTTTGTTGATTGTTGATTGTTGATATTGTTTTTGTTTTTGCTCAGCCCTGTCAGAGCAGGTGACATAGGTCAGACTGTGCACATTGTGAGCCGTCCTATAGAGGCTTTCAGTCTCTTTAATGGACAAGGTCAAAATACATGGAAATTGAATCTATACGATGTTCATTAAATATTCCTATTAAGTTTATTCTAGTATCTATCGAAGTGCGGTGATAGATAATATAGTTAGTGAGATAGATAATATAGTTACTTATTTTTATGATGTGACATAATTCTTCTATAATCTATATTATATCCAAAGAAATATTTATATATATTCGGAATCAGTTTGAATATCTTTGGATTAGTTTCAAAGAACTTTTATAATAGGCAAATTCGATTATTTATTAATTTGATGTGTGTTTTATTGTAAGCTACCTTTTCGTCTTTCAATTTCTCTCAGTGTATTGAAGCAATTTTCTCGCTCAGTAATCGCTGCCCACATTCGTTGCTTTTCTACATATAGTAGAAGTTGATTCTGCTTAGGGCCAATGCCGAATGCACCTTATCGCCTTATCTGAGAGGCGCAGCAACTACAACTGACAGCAAACGGCAGAGAGAAGAGACAACAACGACAACGACAACAACAACAACAGCAATAAATGAGCATGACGTGCACGTACACTTTTTCATGCACTTCCCTATCGACTATATGGATTTTTCTGTGCAGTATGTCGTATTAAAAAGCAACTGAAGAAAATACATATACTGAATTGTTCACATACAAACAATCAATCGAAGAATGTTAGAGACATATATGCCCCATATAGAATAGTATAGGGTCTATGGAATACGTTGAGAGTATAGGCTGTTTACTGTTCCCTATATAATATAGGAATTATGTAACCCTATATTACCTTTAAAAATTATCAAGTATGATAGTATGCCATATCTCTATGGACATATATTAGGGTATATATAATAGAGTCTTCATATATTCGCCACGATTTGATTGCTTCTCATATTTGACAACCAGTTTTTTCGACTTTTTTTCATAAACTTTTAAGTGGGCATTCTGAAGTGAGTGTCAACTGCATTTTCCAATTAGACAGCCAGGCATCCAAGACACACACATATGTAGGTATATCTATGTCTATCTGTCTATATATATTTATATGTAGATATATGTACATATATTCAAGTCAACATCTGCGTAATGCAGCTGACATTGACACAGAGCAAACTGTTTTAGTCCCGTCTGTCGTGGTACCCAATTGGAATACCCTACTTTTAGCCTCTTCCATGCCACAGGCACAATTCCGATGTTTCGAGCCGTAAATGTGTTTGTGTGCGTGTGTGTGTGTACTCGACACATATTTGCAGTTGCTGTGCCAATATTTGCCTATTTTTGTTTTCGTTCAATGGATTTGTATTTCGATTTGGATTCTTGTGGATTGCTGCTGCTTGTTTTCTTTCTCATTTTCCTAATCGACCCAATCTTCAAAATTGAAAAGCAATCTTAACCAAGTATAAATAAACAGTTATGCGCCTGAGTTGAGCAAATCAATTGGATCCACTTGATATATTCGTCCACTTATGAAATTCAAATATAAACACCAAATCGGACTGAAGTCGACCAAAATAATTAACAACAGATTCTAAATTTGGCCAGGTTTATCAGGCCAGTTCTTGCTCAGGGGAGGAGAGTGAGTGAGAGAGAGAGAGAGAGAGAGGGAGGGAGAGGGACAGGCGAATAGATAAGTAACTTTACTTGTTATTATATACGAGTAAGCTTAAAAGATTTAAAACATTTTGATATAGGGTCTAAGAGTGCGTAAGTCGACTAAGAGATACCCTGTACACAGCTCGTGTGGTAAATCTGATAGTTTCTTAGCTCTATTTATAAAGAAAAATTATCTTAAATCCAACTTTATCTAGGTTGATATGTATTTGAGACCCTACAACCCAGGTTTAGTTATGTATGTCTTGGTATGCTATATTGATTGATAGTCAATATTGATGTCTATCGATAGTACTAGAAATCGATTATTTCATCTATATCAAATCTAAATCAAAAGGGTCTCTCAGATTGATAGACTTACGTACAAGATAGGTACAACCTACAAACACTTGGCGAAACCCCCCCTATCATACACTTTCAGAGTATACAGGGTATACAAATTATATTCAAATATGATAATAGATATATATAGACTCAAAAATTTCTGTGTCAAATTTTATGGCAATCGTAAATACTATCAAAATATATATACATGCATATATATATTTATATATGGATATATTCCATTGAGATATCTTGTTCATAAAATGTGTGTAAATTGTTAATAAAATCGAGATGCAAAGCGCGTGCCTCATAAATAATAACGTATTTAAATATTGATATTCATATTAAGCTTAAATACAAATACCTGTCTCTGAGTGGGTTTTCGTATGTGTGTGTGTGTGTGTGTGTGTAAGTGCGTGGCCTGACAAACTATGGGGACACCTGAAATATTTATGAATCCAACACAGCAAAAAACACGCTCAGCAAATCATTACTATAATTGGACAGTGCGTGGCAACAGTTTTCGCACTCACGGTGATTGTTAGGCATTTTTGATGTGCTTTGCATAGGCACATTAGCCTAGTACAGTGGCCGCTCGATAGCTGTGAATAATGTTTTGATTTTTAAACTCTCAAGAAAATCGAATCGAAAAGATTTTATTAACTTTTCCTTTTCTAAGGTGGGAAATCCAGAATTGTTATTGTTGGCCAATGCAATAACTAATAAGTGCCAGGGAAATCAAACAATTTATGAGGTATTCGCCAATAGGAATCTCCACTGTACATGTATTTTGTATAAATTGAATGCGTATTTGTTGTGCATTTACTTTTGGCCAGTCATCTGAATATATGACCCCAATACAGCATATCAAAGCCAATTTGTCAGCCAATGGTGTCAAAGCAAATCAAATAATATATTTGCATATCCAGCAACCTGACTAATATGTAAACACGCATTTGTTATAATATTAACAAACGAATTCTTAGTTTGTGCGCTCCATAGATAACAACTACGTGTACAAATATATATGTAAGTAAAGACATACATGCACATACATATGTATGCATATACACGTTTCACTTTGGAAAATAAGAAAAAAATTCCATAGCTCGTTTAGCCAAGTCACAAACCCACGCACTAATCCCCACGCCCAAACACTAAAACCAAGCTCGAATTGAGTTTTGTGTGTGTGTGTGTGTCTATGTGTGCGTGTGCGTGTACGTTGTCTATTGTGCGCGCTATTTATAATTTCTCATTTGCTTTCAAATGAGTCTTCCGACAGGCACTTTAAAATTTCCCTGGGTCCCAGCTATTTTCGAGCGTATTCGTCTCTCTATTCGCTTCATGGCGTGAAGATAAAAAGCAATTGAAAGCAACAAAAACAACAAATACGCACTCACATACAGAGAAGTGCTAATACTCTACTTGATGAAATGCATAAGCAGGCATATTCATTAGCACAAATTCGAATAATCAAAAATTATTCATAAATACAGATGTTACTTAAGGCAAGAGACATAAAAGAGCGTATGTTAATACACGATTATCTATTCGCAACCATGACGCTGAGCGATGATATAGCTGAAATGCGGACGGCAAGAAGCGCGCCATTCGAAATAAAAGACAAAAAACTTTATGTTTATTGCATAAAAGGCATGAAAACAACAACGACTCAAATCGTTAAGGGGAACAACAACAAAAAGGCGAGGAACGACAACAACAGCAACAACAGCAAGAGCGACAGCAGCAAATACAAGTACACAGCTGTGCTATGTGCGCTTACTCTTTGACACGCAAATGTGTGGAGAGCTTTCGATGCCGTTGTGAGAGAGAGCATGCGCGCGTCGCTCAGCTGCCTTCGTTCTCTTTTGCTTATTTGCCTTCTTCTTCTTCTCCTTCTTCTAGTTGTTGTTAGTGCTGGCGCTGCTGTTGCTGCTGCTGCTGCTACTACTACTACAGCTACTAGTGCTGCTTCCTTCCCATTTCTACTACGTTGCATTCGCTCAGCGTCGCCGTCGACGCCGTCGTCAGTTGAAATTCGAACGTTGACCGAAATTGTTGCTCTCGTCATAAACTTCTCTCGCAAAAGGCAAAACAAATATTCAAACAAGCCCAATTTTTTATGCATTTTGTTTTAATTTAACTTTTTTTTTCGTGTACCGCACTGTGTGTGTTCCAGTTGTTTATCTGATAAGCATTAATTGTTAACATCAATAGAAAACAAAAATATACGGAAAATAATAAGAAAAACAAAACAAAAACAAAACAAAAGCGGAACGCCAAGCAATAACAACAATAATAATAATAATAAGCACATCCCACGTACAATATCATTCCACTTACACGCGCAGTTGCTGTTGCTGCTGCTGCTGCTGCTGCGCCGTCTGCGCATAGTTTCGTGACGTTTCCACCAGCCATCTGATAAGGCGCTACATATTTCATATTTCGCACGCACTCACTCCACCTCTCTCTCTCTCTCTCCCACTCTCACTGTTTCGCTCACTCTGTCATTCTTC